CCCCCCCCCCTCCATATGAGCACGGAGTAGTTTGGGAGCGAAGAAATGGCGAGGAAATTCTGTCCGTCAGGAATTATTGAAGAAAAATAACAATTAAGATCCGGGTGTACATTCTTTCGAATGTTATCTGGATTATTTTCATTTTTCCTAATCCAAAATTGTCAATTGAGTGGTACATCATGTAGAAATTCCCAAAAATTATGATAGAATGATGAAAAAAAATAGAAAAAATTCTGAACTTTTTCAAAGAGCGTTTTTAATTGAGATTCAGAATGAGTTGAAAAAAGTGGAAATTACAAATATCATTTTCCATGGTGGATAACAAAACACTAACTCCTCACGGGAAGTGACAGCTAGGTATCTCAATTTTCAAAACAGTGGTATGTAGTCATCTGCCATTTTTACGTGATAAAAGTGTGATTAAAAAATTCTCAAAAATTAAGAATTTCTTCTACTTTTTTTTTGATTATTCATTCATAATTTTTCAAAACTTCTGCATGATGCCGGACTCAATTGACAATTTCAGATGAAAAAAAAAAATGAAAAAAAAACATCGAGATAAGTTCGAAAGATAATACACCCGGGCCTTAAGTGCCGAATAATTAATAATGAATAATTAAACAAAAATAATAATAATAATAAAAAAAAATAATTAAAAAAAATTCTAAGAGAATTAGAATTTAGAGAGAAAAAAAAAATTAATAATTAATTATTCGGTACTTTATTATTATTATTATTAATTGCTGAATAATTAATAATTAATACTCCCCCTTCACACCAAATCAAAATTATTCAACAGAGAAGATCACCTACTGATCTGCTGGCACTTGGAAGGTGGCACAGCCCACCCATCCACAGTGACCCAATTCCCGAACGACTTCAACCCAACGGACATGCAATGGCACCCGCGTTCAATTCAGAACGTCGGCACCGGCATGATAAAGCAGTCGCTGGACGTCTTGCTGATAACAACAGCAGACGGAAAGTTCCACTTGGTCAACAAGAACGGTCGGATCGAGAAGAGCGTCGAGGCCCACAAGGGCGCAGCCCTCTCCGGCAAGTGGAGCATCGACGGTTCAGCACTGCTGACGACTGGTGAGGACGGAAGCATAAAAATCTGGTCCCGAAGTGGAATGCTGCGGTCCACGATGGTCCGGGGGTCTCTGCCGGTTCTGGGGGTCAGCTGGAGCCCCGACTGCTCGATGATCCTGTTCTCCCAGGGGTCCCAACTGGCGATTCAATCCCTGAACTCTAATTCGAAGCCGCGAAAGTGGTTCGCGCACGAGGGTCTGGTCCTCGTCGTCTCCTGGAACCGCAGCAACGGATTGATCGTCTCGGGAGGGGAAGATTGTCGCTATAAACTCTGGGACAGCAGCGGAAATCAATTGTACAGTAGTGGAGTCGGGGAGTACCCAATTACATCGGTTAATTGGGCACTCAATGGCAATTACTTCGCCGTTGGCTCCTACAACACCATCAAACTCTGCGATAAGACCGGGTGGTCCCACTCCCTGGAGAAAATTAATACCGGAAGTATTTATGGCATTGCTTGGAGCAATGATAGCACTCAGGTGGCCATGGCCTGTGGTAACGGAAGTGTATTAACTGCTCATGTCATTGATAGGAGGCTTGAGTGGAACAATTATGAGGCCACCTTGGTGAGGAGGAAGACTATTGAGGTGAGGGAGGTGGGGAATGCTGTGTTGGAGACGCTGGAGATTGCCGACAGGGTGGTCCACTTTAAATTTGACTTTGGACATCTGGTTGTTGTCACACCGAGCCAGTGTCATGTTTACTCTACGAACAATTGGAATACACCAGCGATTTTTGAATTGAAGAATGCCGCCATCTCCGCGGTGCTGCTTGCTGATAAGTGAGAGTCTTTTTTATTTATTTGTGGCCATTCTTATTCATTTTATTTATTTTATTTATTTTATTTATTTTATTTATTTTATTTATTTTATTTATTTTATTTATTTTATTTATTTTATTTATTTTATTTATTTTATTTATTTTATTTATTTTATTTATTTTATTTATTTTATTTATTTTATTTATTTTATTTATTTTATTTATTTTATTTATTTTATTTATTTTATTTATTTTATTTATTTTATTTATTTTATTTATTTTATTTATTTTATTTATTTTATTTATTTTATTTATTTTATTTATTTTATTTATTTTATTTATTTTATTTATTTTATTTATTTTATTTATTTTATTTATTTTATTTATTTTATTTATTTTATTTATTTTATTTATTTTATTTATTTTATTTATTTTATTTATTTTATTTATTTTATTTATTTTATTTATTTTATTTATTTTATTTATTTTATTTATTTTATTTATTTTATTTATTTTATTTATTTTATTTATTTTATTTATTTTATTTATTTTATTTATTTTATTTATTTTATTTATTTTATTTATTTTATTTATTTTATTTATTTTATTTATTTTATTTATTTTATTTATTTTATTTATTTTATTTATTTTATTTATTTTATTTATTTTATTTATTTTATTTATTTTATTTATTTTATTTATTTTATTTATTTTATTTATTTTATTTATTTTATTTATTTTATTTATTTTATTTATTTTATTTAGTTATTTATTTCATTTCAGAATAAATTTAATTGAAAAACCCAGCGAATTGGGTAGAAAATTCTATTGGGATTCTAATGGAAATTATGGTAAATTGGAGTTTCCTACAGAAAAAAAGTAAAAAAAATTGGGAATTTGCGGCCCGAAATTTATACTGAAAAAATTTGAAAAGAATAATCATACGAAAAAATAAAAATCCACTCATTTTTTTCTATCGAATTTTGCATTCTTCAATTGATATTGTTCATTCGTGATTTTCAGTAGCTAAATTGCATAATTTCCTATAGAAAAAGCAAAAAAAATCATAAGATTGTGCCCCCTAATTTATACCGAAAAAAATCTCAAGAGAATAACCATATGAAAAAAAATCAAAATCTACTAATGTTTTTTATTGAAATTTTCGATAGAAAACGGCCAAAAACAAGTAAAATTTCAACCGAATTTTTTTATTCTATTGATATTTTTCATTCGTGATTTATGTTAAAAATTTACTAAATTCACATATATTTACAGAATAAATTCTATTCCAATTTTAAACAAGGTTCCCTTTTCACTATCACTTCACAGAATTAATTTCTCTCAATTCAGTAGCTAAATTGCATAATTCAGCTGAATAAAAACCAATAAAACTTGAAAACTTGTGACCAAAAACTTATACAGAAGAAATCTGAAGAGAATAACCGATAAGAAAAATCAGAATCTACTAGGGGACGGTGGAGCAAAATGAAACACGGGGCAAAATGAAACAGCAAGAAAATCTTGTGATCTAAGGGAGATAGGACGATTTTCATAAAAACCTTTTTTGTAGAGAATTTTACAAGCTACAAAAAAGGTCTTCTTCAAAAATGTCCTATTTCCTTTAGATGACGAGATTTTCCCACTGTTTCATTTTGCCCCATGCTCCCCTAATTTTTTTAATCGAAATTTTTTATAGAAATAAAAAAAATAGTAAAATTTCCTACTTTGAGTAAAATTTTCATGTTGATGTTTTCCAGGCACTTTGTACTTGTAGAATGGAATTCCCTGACGCTCTATAGCTACCAAGGAAGACTGCTGAGTGTCCCTAAGTGGAAGGGAATGAGTCAAGAGCCCCTTTACCCTCCCTGCATCGCTCTATGCTCAGACACTCTAGTCGTTCGAGACCAGACTAACGAGAAACTCCTCCACATCCTGGAGATTTCGAATAACAAACCGGCAGTGGAGGCTCAACCCCATCTGCACGTCAATAGCATCGCCGAAATAGCAATCAATTGCATTGGGGGCTTGAATGATCGCCAGTTAGCTTTTATCGATGTAAATAGAGATTTGTACCTTGTGACTGTGAGAACAAGTGGATTCGGCCGAGTTTGTAAGATAGGTAAGCCCCCGAAATTAATTAAAAATGGAAAAAAGATTTCGGCTTTCTCTGAATTTGCAGCTGCTATGGCACAAAGTATCGCCTGGGCAACAGATGCTAATGTGTTAGCTGCAATGTTGGACGCATCGTTATCAGTCTGGCTTTGTCCAAATTGCGTGCACTACAGTGATAGAAAAGTCATCAGAAGAACTAGAATTGATAAAGAAAACAGGTAATTTCAATTAAAGTGATCCACTCACTTTTCAGTGAGTGATTTTTCATTGCGCTATGGGTAAAGTGACATGACGTAGAACTTTCTGTTAGTATTTGGCCGATTCTATTGAAATTTTCAATAGAAAATATTCTACAGAGAAACTTAACCGACTTCGATTTGTCCATACACCTTATTCTGTGGAGATATATTTTAAAGAATTTCCTCGGATCAGATTTTTTTCGTGGACTAAGTTTTTTTCGTTGATTTTCTTCATGAAAAGAAAAGAAAAATGGAATGAAGAAAAAATTTAGCCGAAGAAATTCTATAGGAAATATTTCCAGATAACATTGCCCCAACGTAGGTTGCCAACATTACCCCAACCTAGGCAGGCAATGTTGGGGCAATGTTGGGCCAATGTTGGCTGCCAACGTTGTGGCAATGTTGGGTCAGTGTTGGCTGCCAACGCTGTGGCAGCGTTGGGTCAATGTTGGCTGCCAATGTTGGGGAAATGTCGGGTCAATGTTGGTTGCCAACGTTGGGGCAATGTTGGGTCAATGTTGGCTGCCAACGCTGTGGCAGCGTTGGGTCAATGTTGGCTGCCAACGTTGTGGCAATGTTGGGTTAGTGTTCGCTGCCAACGCTGTGGCAGCGTTGGGCCAATGTTGGGGAAATGTTGGGTCAACGTTGGCTGCCAACGGTGGGGCAATGTTGGGTCAATGTTGGCGGCCAACGCTGTGGCAGCGTTGGGTCAATGTTGGTTGCCAACGTTGGGGCAATGTCGGGTCAATGTTGGCTGTCAACGTTGGAGCAATATCGGCTACCGATATTGGCCCATCGACACCCGGACAATGAAAATTGCACATTCGAACTCCTGAGCCCAAAACTCGTTATTCTGACACAAAAAAATGGAAATTTCCAATTTAACGAATATACAATGTTCCCATTCGGAAGCATGAAATGACTGGGTTTTTCTATGAAATATTTTTATGCCTTTGCAATTTTCATTTATTTCAAACATCTAGTGAATTTGGAAAGCAACCGAGTATCGTAAGCGTCCAGAACGGAATGGTAACAGTGAGACGTGGAGATGGAGCTCTGGTGGCCACAGCATTTTACACATTTTTCACGAGTTTACATAAACATATTACGAGAGATAAATGGCAAGAGGCTCTGTCGCTATGTAGGATCGCCCAGAACGAGATTCTATGGACTTGTATGGCAGTCATGGCTACTGAAGGCAAACAGTTGGAAGCTGCGGAGGAGGCTTACGCCGCTATCGAGAGATACGATAAAGTGGACTATGTCCAGAGGATTAAAAAATTACCGAATAAAACTGAGAAATTTGCGGAAATGTCGCTGCTGGCTGGCGATTTATTGGGGGCTGAGGGGATTTTACTGCAGAATGGGCTCATCAGTGAAGCCATTCGCATTAATATTCAGATGTATAATTGGAATAGAGCGTTGGAGTTGGCGATTAGACATAAGAAATTGGTGGAGGAAGTCTTAGAAGCTAGAAGTATGTACCTGAAGGTGTTGGAGAAGGCGGAGACGAGTCCCAGTTATCTAGCGTTGGTGACTAATAAGGCGAAAGCTGAGGTATGTTTCATGCAAAATTGACAATTAAATGAATCATTAATTTTTTGTTGGTGAAGTGAATGTCTCTTGGCATTTGGAGATTTTATTTGGGTCGAACTAAGTTCTCATTGAAGAAAGTCTCTGTACGAATTCAATCATTTTTACTATCATGTGGAACTGAAACTTGCAATTTCATTGAATTGTTGTTTAAAGATTCAAAATTTTTCACTTGAAATTTCAGTTGTAGTGACTTTTTTACTGTTGATGTCCTTTTATTATGCCCCTTTTCCTGTCAGATTCGATATTCCCTTTTTCAATTAATTGTTTATAATCATTTTCATTGCAAAAAGCAATACGATCGATGAAAATCACATCTCTCAATTTATCAGCTGTTGAAAATTCATATCAATAAATTATTTGCTCATGTTCTAATTCCTATGCACAATGAATAAGATTTTAATCATAATTACAATTAAATTGCTTCTAGAACACACTTTAGAGTGTGAATTTCTGGAATTCAATGTTTGTTGATACTCTGGTAAAAGTGCGTGCCCACACTGTTATCAATTTTTAGTCAGTTCACACGGTAATTCAATTAATCTGTTGTTCATCTCATCAATATAATTCCGTGCTTAGAATATTGTCATCTCGTCTTTTCAGCACCAAATTAAAAATTAAAACTTCATTCGGAATATTGAGTGACAACTTCTTTTTATTCATATCAGGAATTTTGTATTTGGATATTAATATTATTTGTTCAAATTGAAAAAATCGATCATCATTTTCACTATATTGCATTCACTCTCCTATCCTTAACGTAAAAAATGTGAGATAATCTCATAATTCTAGCTATTAATTCTAATCAATTTTGTTCGAAGAAATATTGGTAAACGCAATATTAAGAAAGTAGAATTATTCCATTTTCCTCTGACCTCAATGAATTGGACAATTAAGATTCGTTTATTCATGTTTCATAGAATGGTATTCAATTCTCTTTTGTGGAATGAAAAAAGTTCAATAGAAATTCAATAGAATTGCTTAGCGAATTTGTTAGGTTTTTCTATTAAATTTTTTCGTGTGTGACTTCACATCTTTAATGAATCAGTCAGTTTATTAGTTAATTAATCACATGGCTTATTAACCAATTTATTAGTAATTTATTAATTACGTTATTAATAATTCATTATAAACTAATTTATTAGTTAATAAATTAGTGAATAAAGCATCAATTAATAAAAATTGTTCTTCCAGACTCCTGAAGTGATGACGAAGGAAGAGAAACAAGTAGAAATGGACGAATTAATCGATGAAACCACTGTTTTCTAGAGAAAAGGAATTTATGGAAAATAGACACTCAGTACTGTAAATATTTTTATTCGTCTTGTCCGTAAGAGACAGCGCACTGCCGAAGATTAAACGGATGGATGAGTTTCCTCATCATAAAAATACAAAGAAATACTGAAATAAGATCTAGCGATAATGAAATCACATAAGACTACTCGATCATGAAATGATTTTTCAATTTGTTACATCAATAAACGTTATATCACCGTCGATTGCATTATTCTATAAAATCTATTGTTCACAGTTCATCAACTTATTAAGGACCTCAAAATAATCGCAATGAGTCCCACGAATAAAGTACAAATCACTAAAAGAATCACAAAGTTTCGCTCGTGCCAAGTTGGTTTTTCAGTTGGTGGCCGATACTTCGTCGCTAATGTGCTCTGAAAAAAGATTTTTCTTCATTTTTGTGGTGAAAAATTATTTAGTAATAGAATGGTGAAGGACAGAGGATTAATTTAGCATGAAGTCTAGAACAGCAGAAGCAGTTCTGGCGAATTTATCGATTTTCCGGAGGAAATCGAAAATTTCGTAACTTCCCTCACGTTTTTTAAATAAAAAATGTTTCCTCTTTTAAAAAAAGAATGTAACGTTTTTTGTCAGCATCTTTCCATCTTCAACTTGAATACCTTTTTATTTCATTTCTTTCAAATTATCTATATTAATTATCTATTATATATATTATAATAAAGAAAATAATAATATATGATATAAAAAAAAATTATATTTACATTTTTATTTTTTCATTCATTTAATTTTTTAAATATAATTTTTAGATATATTATTGATATCTTTATATTTTTTTGATACAAAGATTTTCTAATATTTTCATAAATATATGTATATAGAAATATATTTTATAGGTATACTTTTATTTTTTATCAATATTTTTTGAAATAATTATATAATATTATATATATGAATATATAATATATAATATTATATAATTATAATATTATATATTATATATGAATATATAATATATAATATTATATATATGAAATATAATATATAAATAAAAAAATGAGGCGAAAAATTCAGGGGACGGTGGGTGCCTATGAGGGGGTGGTCATAAAGCGGATATCTATATTTATGGAGGATTACTATATTAGGGGGTGCTCATATGGAAGATATTTATGGGTACGGTCATACCGCTGCGGTC